TTTGAGGACTACTGCCTTGTAGCACAATCCAGGGCTCTAGGTCAGGGGTCCCCAACCTGGCACTGGTCCGTGGCCTGTTAGGGACTGGGCTGCACAGCAGCAGGGGAGCAAAGCTTCATCTGCATTTGCAGCCGCTCCCCAGCGCCAGCATCGCCGCCTCAGCTCCACCTCAGACCATCGGGCGTTAGATTCTCACAGGAACATCGGTCCCCAGTACCACAAAGGTTGGGGACCACTGCCCTAACGTACTGCCTAAGAGCAAACTGATGGTTCTTAAACAAATCCAAATATGCTGAACTATTCCTGTTTTATTAAATGTGCAATCCCATATGTTTTCATTTTTAGATACTAAGGGCAGCCTACGTAAGAAATCTACCAAGTATGTTATAATGTGTTTCTAAGATTTGTTTACATATTTTTCAAAACTCCTGTCTATCCCTGAGGTTTTCTGAGGACTCTAAACCAGCATTCTGACACTGGGCACGCGCTCATGTGGACAGCTGCAATCATTGACCTTTTAAAACCGAAGTCTTGTTTCCCTGCTTCATCATTTTTTCCTTGATTTTGTTGGGATTCTGGACCGCTGATATTGTTTTTTCATTTTAAACACTGTCAGTTTTACTTGACCATTATCAGCTTAGCTTATACCTATTTGCTTTGGTTCAAATATGAATTATCCCTTTCCTTACCACTAACAGATAGGCATAATCCCCCCACCCAATTCCTCCCACATCCTCAGCCCCTCGCTCCCTCAGCAAATCTGCTGATACGTGCATCCCTGGATTCTCCTTTCCTTGGCAAGCAGGGTCTGGTCTGCTAGATCAGTGGCCCAGTCTTTACCTGCAATCCAATTAAACCTGAGATGAAATAAAAGGATTTTTTTTTTGAATCATAAGTTTTAAAATAATAATGCACAACTGATGTATGATTTTTCTTGTCAAAACTAATATTGGTTTTATTAGATACACTTAATGCAAATAAAACTGGTATTTAGCAGCAGAAACATAAATACAGAGTAAATCCCTTTGTTTCCAAAACTGTGTTGTATTGTTAACATTAAAGCTTATTGCCTAACGGAAGACAGTAAGAAACAAGTCACCTGTCACGGAAACAATATTAAGCAATCTTCTCATGGTCTGAGGACTTATGTCGCTGAACCAGTCCTCCGTCACCAGCAGTTTTGTAAGATCGAAGGACATCTGCCGGGTGACGGTCCGCTGCATCTGCCTTCTCCGGTACGTGTCCTGAAACAGTGGGAATGTGAGGCTGTTTTATGACAACGACAAATCTAAAATTGTGGTCAAAGAGGAAGGCTATGTAATAAAAAGTGACAGCAGTAGTACTCCCTGAGGCGGACTCTTTCCAGGAAAATTATACAGTAGCATCAGCAGCAACTGCATCGAATGCTATGCTTTGGCTTCAGATGCATTTTGATTTATAGTTGCAGAGTTAGAGAAAGCTCGGTGCATTGAAGACTAGAAGCAAACAGAAGTACAGAAAGAGAATTCGATCCAGACTCTCACAGGAGCTCAGTATTTATCTGAACCCTCAAATAATAAAGCAATAGACTCCTTGTCCGGTTTTAAGAACTCAGCATTTTGATTTTTAGGTTATTTTTAACGTGTGACAGCTATCTAACAGGCACGGCTGCTCTAAGCACCCTCACATCCGCATGAAATGCACTGAATTAAAGCAACTGAATGGCTAATGAAGGCCATCCGCTGGGTGGGGTGGGGGATCCCACCAGATCAGAGGAGGACCGGGCGCAGCTCAGGGTCTCTCATCAGAGGCCGTGAACCCAAGGGTGGTGGGTGCTATGCAGGGAGCCCGGGCCCAGGCTCCCAGGAGAGAAACTCAGAGTGGAAAATCATGCTGCCTCTTAATTCAGTGCCTTCGACTGTCCTTTATAATGATAACTTCGCATCCATATTTGTATGGGGTAGAGGCATAAAATCAGAATGTCGAAAGGTCACCGAAGACCCGTTTTTGTTTTTGTTTTTCATGTAAAATATCCAAATTTAATGGTAACGAGCTAGAAAGAAAAGAAAGGCAACGCTAATGCTAGCCTGACCATGCCAGCCTTAAGTGGCACTATCACCATAACGTACGTCCTTTCTTGTCGTACTCCCTTGTTCCATACGAAAGGGAGTTCTAGGAATGGGGTAGGGCAAGGACGGCTGGAATGTCCCAGGAGAAACCCAAGGTGGCTGGGAAGGGCACAAAATCACTGTGCGGGGACGGAAGCACTAGTCACAGCTCACGAACATTAGGGAAGGGGGAAGGCCGACAGGAAGACAAGACACGGGGCTTTCCTCGCACTACAAGCCTCTTTACCCCACAGAGACAGGGTGGCGACAGGCGCCTGGAATGAATACAGGGGTTCTCAGGGCTGGGTGACATCAGTGGGGCGCTTGAGACCCTCCCTCTCAGAGAATCCGAATCAATCGGCCTCAAGTCCGGAGCGGCACTTGGGCTGGGAACGGGCTGGGAGAGGAGAGGGCCGCCTGTACAGCACAGCTACACGGCTGTGGGCTCAGCCTTTCCCTGAGGAGCCACTGAAGCTACAAGGAAATTCGGTGATAAAATTTATCCGATGAGCTTAGTGCAATCCTTACAAAAGAGCATTTAAGTGACGTCGCCTTAGTATCGCTTGAATAATAGCAACACAAACACGTGGCTCAAAACCGATGGCATCTTACCCGTCTGTTGAGGGCTGTCTTGCTACCGAGTTTTGTCATCTCTCCAAGGCTGTTCTGTGAAACTCTTCGGTCAGCATCTTCCTGCATCCCTTAAAGATTTATCAAGAGCACCATTTGTACTAAAATTCTGTTGTACATGATATACAAAGAGAAATGAACTACCAACAATATTTTTCAAGGGAAAAGGTACTTCAGTCCGAAAGTATCTGAAGAACTTGATCCTTACCTGTAGCATCTGAGCATGGAATGTCCCCGTTTGTTGTTGAAGTTACAAGAAATTTTCTCGCACTGCTTAGTCCACGACTATTAAGGAAAACAGGCAAGTGAACTATATTGCGCATGTAGTCATGTCCGTTTATATTTGAGTCACGAAGCACACTGTTGAGGTTCTGGTTAATTGCCTTTATAATAATATGTGGATCACTTGCAAAAATGGCAATGAATGGGCCTTTTGAAAACAGAACTCGGACCTGTAGAAGAAATGTATATCTATGATATATATTTTAAATTATCCAACGTAATAAAAAGTCTCTTCAAAATTAGTGTTATACTTTGGTGGCTATATTTTTTAAAAACTATTTTTCATCAAAATATAAATCTATATGAAAACAAATTTCATTGACGTCTCAATCCGGATTTTTACCACCTGACAGAGATAAAACCTCCAGAGAACAATGAATCCTGTCCTATTTTGAGACACTTCAGTGGTCTACACAGGAGGTAAGACCAACACACGTGTAAAATACTCATGAACACACAGGAGGTACTGGGCGCACCGGTCTCTGCCTAGTCACACACTGCTGCCTATGACACACCTCACAGAGGGCCACTGATGCATCCTGCAGTAAGAAAATACAGATTCTGTGGGCTCCCTACTTGTGCCTCTGATTCTAACCATAACTATCTGGAAAGCAAAGCTGCAGGTACACTATGGTCTTCAAGGCCAGTCATTTTTCATTTTCTCTTCTGCCATTAAGCTGAAAGTGTTTAACTCTGTGATGAAACATTTACTCTTGCTATGTTTCAACATTTAAAAAATGGACTATTTTCACAAAACGAAAAGTACTATTCAAATTCCATTTGATATATTCATGAAGTCGCTCCTCTCAGCTGCCATGTATGTGACAACGACAAGTTTCAAGATGGTAAAGACGTACGGTGTCCAGCATCTGGAGCACTTTGTCCTGCTCGCAGGCATCCAGCCCATCGATGATAACCACCAGCCTCGTCTGATTCTGCGTGAAGCCGTCAATGGTTTTCGCCATCCGGGCCATCAGTTCCACTTCGCACTTAAGAACCTGTGTGAAAGGAGGGGCAGACGGCGCCCAAGGCATGAGAAAGTCCAGCAGGTCTCTTGAAAAGCCTGATAGAAAGTCACCCAATAAGAAGAAAAGAAAGCCCAAGTCCTCACCGCCAGTTATAGTTCCACTTAAAGCCCTAGTGAGTGCCTTGCAATTTACAAAGTGACTTCACATAAATTGGAGCGTTTCACCCTTATAATGAAGTAGACACTGGCACGCCCATTTCTTTTTAATTATTAAACTGGGTTGAGTGACTTACTTGCCAAGATCACACGTTCTGAATGTCAAAAGACTAGGATTTAAATGCAAATCTAAACGATCTGAACACCACAGGACTGATGACTTCCCGATGGGACAGGACCTTGATCAAAGGAAGTGGCTGCAGATGTTGGAGACAGCCCCTTTTGGTTCTAAAAGTATGATGCTGTTTCACGTGTTATGGTGGTTCGATTTCCTCACTCTACCAGGCTCTAGAAGAATCTTTATTATTAGGTAGGAATTCCCATCTGTGAAATAATCAACCTGATAACTCCTTTGAGTATCTTATAAAAATCTATTTTATAGAAACATGGTATTGTTATAATTTTTCCGACTTCAAATATGCATTTCCACAGGAAAGATCTGGAATAAAACTAAAAGCGAATGCGCCGTTTAAAAAGGACACGCCCTGAAGCCCAGACGCTCACACTCTAACAGCCGGAGAGGGCTTACTTTCATGAATCCTTCACTTTTCAACTTGTGCAGCTTGGAGGCGGCGCTATGGAGGCGTTTCCTTTGCGAATTCAGGAGCGAGTCCAGCACCTGCCACCAGGTCCGGCAATTCAGCACAAAGGCCAACCCCACAACAGATGCAATTGATATAAGGACCGCATTCACCGTCAGATGTTTGGGGTCAACTCTGAATATAGCCAGGAGAGTAATTCCAGCAATAATGCAGCCAAAGATAAAAAGGAAAATGACAAAAGATGGAAGACAGCACGTTTTTTTCCATTTCTTTTTACCTGTAAATACGACAAACGATTTTTAACAATTATTTACATATCGAGTATCTCGGAAATCCTAAACACTACAGCGACAGCATACGACAGACTCGATGGTCAGTTCACGTTTTCACCCATCCTGAACCCCTCCGCACACGAGAAGAAGAGGGAAGCCTTCCTTACCCTGTGTGTCTTCGGTCTTGAATACACGGAAAAGCCTGGTTGCCAAAAAGCCAAACTCCCTCTCACAGGCATCCGAGAGGGTGGCGATCATTTCAGCCATGGATGTTTCTCCCCCTACACTGGACAGCCGATTGTAATCTGTAAACAAGAACCTTCGGGGCAGGGAAAGGAAACATTACTCAGATCCCTAAAGACGCCAACATGCGTCATCTAAAATCATGTACCCTATTATTTTATATCTCTTTCAAAATATTGTTTTTAAAATTCTAAGGAGAGAAAAAGAACTTGGAATTAGGTTTCTTCCACTTCTAACATCTGATGTACTTTTCTTAGGAAAAGTCAGTAACAAAAGTTAAATGTAGCGGAGCTATATAAAGAAATGCAGACTAAAGGCCGGAGGAGAGAAAAAGCTGTAACAGAGTTAAGACAAGGAATCCGACACCTCGGCACCTCGTGACACAGTGATGAAAACGCGGCACGCACAGCGGGTGCGGCCACGACAGCTGCACTTCAGAGAAAGTTTTCTGAGCACCGGCTGCAAAGATGAGAACCTGGAAAAATATTCTAGTCCTGAAGACTATAATCTTCGATCACACTGTGCTCTGCTGTGCAGTCTTCATTTCAGCTATTTTAATTGTTCTTTTTTTTAATCACCTCATTAACCTGTGTTTATTTTCTGCAAAAAATATTTTTCCCTTTTATTCTGTCTTATTTTTAACTTTTTCATTTTAACGTTTCATTTTTAAATTCTGTTCTTAATACTTAATCCATTACTTCTAAGTTTTTCTCCTTATTTTTTACATGTTATGGTTGTCATGTTTTATCTGGTTCGGCCTATTTATTTCCATCTGAAATTACACGTACTGTATCTTATAACTTTAACTGTTTTGCCAATCTCCACTGAATTTCCTCGCCCTCGGCTCCCTAATCTTTCCCCGTCCATTCCCCTGGAGCCCAGCTCCTCCCCTGTGCTCCCTGGCGCATGTTGTTCATCTCTCTGAACGGTTTTCTCACACGCTTCCTATTTGACATCGATAATTTTAGACGGGCAGGTAAATCTATTTCCACCGATGAGGAGAGCAGCTTGGAGCGCAAGCTGAGGTGCCGCAGTTACACGACGACTAACGTAGGGGTGCCGGGGCCCCATGCTAGGTGCCGCACTCTGAATTCGAAGTGCGCCCAAAGGACACCAGCAGGTGCCACAAGGCTGGGGAGGGAAAGGGGTTTACGTGCAAATAAAACGTGGTCAAAGTTACACAGATTCCTTACGGAAGGGCGCCTCCGACCTTCAATACACAAGAGGGAGACGTGACATGTAGTGTCTCCCAGCGCGCGGGACCAGGCATGCTCGTGTGTTTGATTTCTCATGTAAAAAGCTTCAAGGACCAATGTTTTCTTTTGAAATGTACATTCAGAAATGATGCATTATGAACTTTATTTTGCTTCACCTCATTAAAAGTTACTTCTGTCAACGGGACCCACTCACCTCACTGGTAAAGCTTTAGTGGTTTGCTCGGGCAGTTCCGGCGGATTCACGAACATCAGTTTGAGGAGGAGTTCCAAATACCCGATGTGCCTGGCCAGCCTGGTACTGAGGACCCAGGCCCAATTCCAGCTCTCTCCTTCCCTTCGTCCACCAAAGTAAATGACGACTGAAAGTCACAGTTTAAAGAAAAATTAGCCAAAACAATTCTTTTCTCCAAATAGTCAAATAACAAGTAATGACACGCAGGCTTTCCTAACTTTTCACAGTCCCATGCTATTTCCTAACTTTTCCTCAAAGAATTACTCAATTAATGAAACTCCTCAAAAAGAGAGAAGGTGTATGATAAATGGAAAGTAAACAAATCGAAATATGACTTAAGAAACACGACAGAAAGATAATGCCTTAAACAGAAACACATCACTTAGCTCAGATTCCAGTGTAAATGACTGGGGTTGTCACTATTTGCAGCTACTGAAGTTACTGGTTCTTCCAATAGTAAATCTATTGCCTTTCTTACAACTGAAGACACTCCAAGAGCAGGGATAATATATTTTTACTTTGCTTTTAGATAAAATAAAAATTACAATCATGATTAAGATGCTCAAGAGCATGCCAGTGGTGGCTGTGAAGACTTGTTTTCAAAAAAAAAAAAAGATTTCAATATAAATCATCAGTTAACATGGTATAAAAGGGTAAGTATAATAAACCAGAGTCCTGCCTCAGTATTGACAAGTGGAAGACTCGTCTTTAAAGATACTCCAGCCAGGTTATGGACAGCATTCCTCTACGCCAACTTATAAAACAGCAAAAGATCAATTTTCTAACCTAATTATGAAAATCACAGCTTTTTAAGAGAGATGTAGATATCTCTGAAGTAAAATAATGAGTCTTGACATTTCCTACATTTTAGAAAAAGATTAAAAAGCAAAGACTTACTAAAAAATATATATAAGAGAGCCAGGAAGCTCAGTGACACTGCTATCCCGAGGTTTGGGTCGACCGCGAAAGCAAACAGCAAGCCCAGCCCTCCGCAAAGCAGCAGGGTCAGGAACACGATGAGCCACGAGAACTGAAAAAGGGGTTCGACCTGCTGCCCTGCAAAAGTCTTCATTTCATCTGAAAGAGAAATCAGTAAAAAATTATTCCTGTTTTGTTTAAGCACAAATCCTAACTCGATTTGAAATTTCACATTTTCGCATAAATATTTATTGGGCACTTACTAAGTCCCTAATAAAATGTTGCTACGGAGCCATTTTAACCAGTGCTCTCTTCTGGTAAACGTAAACATCCCACTCCCTGGGGGCACAGCTCCCCTGTCTCACCCACCCTCCTTCTTCATATAGAAGAGACACAAAATCCTTTTTCCAATATTCCCATCTGTCAAGATTTTATTGATGTTTTTTGAGGTTTGTGTTATACAAGCAATAAGGCATTATTTCCATATATAAAACTGAAAACCAGTGTTTTGCTATGTGTCTTCACTGTGTGACCCCTTCTCCCTCCAGTCACGTTTGAGAATAGGTGCTCTTACAGGTGTGTGTTGAGCCTAAATGAGCCCTAAACGAATCATCCTACAAAAGTTGGCACAATTTTTATAGCCAATACTGAAACCTGTCCTCAAAGAATGAGTAACATTTTGCCACGCCAAAAGTGTGGGTGCGGGGGACGCGGGGAGCTTTCTAGGAAGCTCTAAATACAGGAAGCAACTAAGGGAAGTATCCAGTCTATTCTTGCAAGAGCAAACAGCCCTCTGTGCTCGAGCATGGAGTGCATGAGACGTAGGGCTGTCCAGGTGTGGCCATGCAAACTGACAAGTCTGTGAAGGACCCGAGATGATGATTATAAAGGGCACATGCAGAAACTGTGCCGCCATGGGGGTTTGCGTGTGTTAAAACACGGCTGGTCTTTGTTTCAGAAACAGAACTCAAATGACTCTGTGCCGAGGATCAGCTGGAGGGGAGTAAAACCCTAATGCTTTCAATTCAGTAAGCAGAGTAACAAACACACACACCCACACATAAAACTCCATTTTTCTTTTCTTAAAAAAAACACACCAGAGAAAACCTTCCTATAGAAACAGACTTCACACAGACGGGCCCTTTACCTTCCAGCTTCTTGAGCAGGAAAGATTTCCCACTCCCCCACTGCGCATACAGCCCCACACAAATGGGTGGCTGCATGGTGGGCTCGCTGAGAATGTCCGCCAGGGCGCTGCTGTACAGATCATAACCCAGCATGTCACCGTCCGTTTCCGTAGGGGACAAGTGTCCTGTAATCATAAACACACCATTTCCTTTCATGAAAAAGACATTGCCATTAGAAAGGAAAATCGATTCTCACATATTATGTATTTAATTAGGAAAAAAAAACTTACTTTAAATGCTTAGGCCTGTGTAAAAATAGGTTCAGAGAGTCTTAAATTAGTACTACATTTCACAGAACTTAAGACACCTATTGATGCATTATTATTACATTCGACTAAGAAAGAAAAACTACTGCCCAGTTGTGACACAATGCTTTCTTATGCCTTGATTATAAGACGAGTTCCAATTTCAGAGATTTTAAAAAGTGGAACAAGGTACATTTTAGAATCAATAAAATAAGATTAAAACACAAACTAGTCCATAGTAATAAACTTAATAGGTATAATACCTATATAAAGAAAGCCACAAACTGTTATTGAAAACATCCTAGATAATCAGAGCAAAAGAGACATTCTATGGTTCCCAGCAGAAAGGTTCAACGACTTAAAGACAACAATTATCCCCAAATTAATTGATCACTTCAAGGCAATTCCAATCAAAATCCATAAGAATGCTTCGAAAAAGTGAAAAGGAAGAACATGTAAAAATAGCTAAGAAAAAAATGTAAAGACTACCAAAAAATAGTTATCTTTGGAGAAAAGTCAAAATATACTGTAAAGCAATGACGATTAGATCATAGAACTCACACAGGATATGAGCATAAGTGGCATTTCAAATCAGTGGGTAAAGATGAATTAATAAATGGTGTTAAAAAGTCAGACATCCATTTTAAAAAAAGTAAAATTAAAATTCTATACATCTCATATCTTAACAAAAATTAATTTCTCAAAGATTAAAAAATTAAATGTAAAAAGTAAAACCATAAAATATTAGGAGAAAAAATAGGGGAAAAAAACTTTTAAAAATCTTGGCATAGAAAAGGCCTTTCTTCTTCAATGTAATAATGATAAAGCCAGAACTACAGGAAAAGACTGACAAACTACAAAAATGTGTAACTTTTGGATGAGGAATAAAAAACTATAATCACCATAAAAAAAGAATAAGCTGGGGAGAGGGATGCTACACACATAGGCTGGATATGGATCAAAATTCATAACCTACAAAGACACTTAAAATCAATTTTTAAAAAATATTAAAAGCTCAAAAAAAAAGTGGGCAAAGGATGCAAAGAAGAAAATGGCAAAAATCCAGCCTATGAACATTATTAAAAGCTCTCAATCTCACTGACAATTTTATAATGCGAATTAGAATGAGATCTTTTCTGATGGGTCTGATTAGCAAAGATCAAGGACTAGCGCCCCATGGTAGCAAGGCTGTCCACAGCTGCTCTTCGTCAACGGCCCCAGGGAGAAGGAACTGTTACAGCCATTTTGGAAAGTCTATCAAAACTGCTAACGTCCACTGACTTGCCAATTCTCCTTCTGGGAATTTACTCCAAGCAAATAACCCTGAAAGGAAGAGTTATGGGTATATGTACAAAGATGTTCACTGCAGCAGTAGTTTTTAACAGCAAAACAATCAAATAGTTTTCAATAGAGAACTGAATGTACTTAGAACCTGTGATGAAAAATTATGTAACAATTAAAATATGACATAGTTCATTATTAAAAGCTTTTATAATATGATTCGATTTTTTTAAGGCTATATACTTGGCATAAAACATTTTTAGAAAGGCAAATAAAATTCTAGAGGGTCAAACAATTATGAATTAAGAGATAGGGGACAATGGGAAATATTTCTTTTTCAATTCTAGTAGAAAACTGTTTCATATTTCAAAAGACCACATAAAAATGATGATACTCTCCATTCTTTTCAATCAAAAACTATTTTAGCATAATATGCAAGATATTATGCTAGATGTTACAGAGGACACCAAGATGAGAAGAAATAGTCCCTACTCTGAAGAACTTGAAATTTTAAAGGGAGAAAATTCTAAAAGAAATAGAATAAAAAGCCATATATAATAAGTATTTTAAAAGGAAATATAAACACAAGTGCTTAAGTATTCAAACGAGGCAAACACTGTGCTTGGTTGGGCAGGTCAGAGACAACTGCCGTGAGCCTCAGAGAGAGATGACATGACGTTACCAAGTAAAGAGCATTCCTGGGGACAGAGCAGGAGTGACCTGCAGGGGGCACGACGCAAGCAAAGGCAGAGAACTCTGAGTGCTGGGGCCACACAGAAAACAGGACGTTTTCATTAAAAGCACCAAGTACACGTGGGAGAATAATGGCGAAAGATTTTCAGAAAAGTAGACTAGGTTTTCAGAAGTCTTAAAAGCTCGTTGATGGCTCTGAACATACTTCACGTAGAAAGCTACAACACAATGCAAAAGAGCTTTCGACTTACGGGGTATTTTTCCACCGTAAAGTATTAACTTTCTCAACTTTTACAATCTCCAGCTAAACGATAAATGCAAAATTGCTGTTGGTCTCTTAATTTTTTCATAGAACATTCATTTCTTTGGAAAGCTCGGTCAGGAACAAAACCCAGTACTTACTGGCTCCAAATATCTGCGTTAAGATACTTTTCTGATGGCTGCAGTCAATGTTGTAGGGTGTCTCGCCTGCTTTGTTGGGCCTGTACAGCAACCTCCCGTCTTTGGGGTTTCTTAAAAGAAGTTCTGCGAGTCTCCGACTCCTTCCGCGAATGGCGATGTGCAAAGGAGTGTCTCCTTTCTGCAAAAGTGTGACAGGAAGAGTGAATGTTCACGTTTTTTTAAATATAAGTGTATACAGAGTAACGAGTTTCACGTTTCTGTAAAATAACAGAAAATCTGAGCTTTCCCTATTTTTCATAGAACACGTAGATAACGTGAATGTGTATCTCCATCTTCCTGGAAATTCCCCTCTCCTAGCTGTCCTGAGGGATTACTTCTCCCACGGCCTCTGGACCGACGGCCATTCTTCTCCCCTGCCCTCAACTCACTGAACGAGGAGAAGCGACGGGCTTGCTCCCGCGACTCCTCCCAGGCCATGGCCCCTCTTCCGTCGTAGGTTCATGACCGTCCATCACCCAAACATGGATTGTTGACAGAGGCCACCCACCTTCCTCAGCTAGTCCGTATTGTTTCACAGCCCTCCCCTCAATCCGTCCACGCTGCCGCCCCGTGGAACACGAGTGCCGGGCAGGGGGCGGCGCTACGGCAGGCCATACCCGCCCCGCAGGTGAACACAGGGCCAGTCTGCCCCACGCCCCCACCTGCTCCGGGTCCCCGGAGTCTTTCCTGCTTATGTGCACCAAGATCGATGCCTGGTGCCGCCCCCGTGTGGTGGCCTGTGGCAGCTGAAGGGAGGTCTGAGGCGGCTTCTTGAGCACCGGCCGCCCCAGCTCAGCATGCAGTCACGACAGCCAAGGAGATGGCGTCCCCAGCAAGCCATCTCTCCCTCCACAAGGTAAAAGCAGACCCCTAAGTCCACCAGATACACAGGTCAGTCCACCAACAGCCTCCCAAGTCGTGTCCTCGCTGCACGGATTGTCACCTTATCCACGGCAGACACTTTGGCTCCTTTATCTAGCAGCAGCTCCACCACTTCAATGTTTCTCATCTTGGTGGCCTTGATCAGCGGCGTTTCACCATCCTGTGGGCCCAGATAAGAGCATGTGCCAGATTAATAGCGTGACTCCTAAATGTATAAAGTCACATAAATGCACATGCAAAACTTCAAGTATCGGACTCTGGTACCCATCTGTATTCAAAATGTTGCCAAGAAAACATAGTTATAAAAACTAACGAGTACTTCCTCCATGACCAATCATTTGCATCAAAATTTTCTATCACTCAGCCAAGTTCAGGGTGTGGCTAGCTACTTTATCAGCCATTTCTGGCCACAGTCCCCTGGTCCTCACTGTGGCTGTCATTCCCCAGGCCCGCCTCCAAAATCTGGGGCAGCACCTCCCCTCCCCACCATCTCCCCACCAACCAACTGCAACCCAGCCAGTGGACATCCAGGCAGGCCAGTGTCTAGATTCTTACAGAATCTATACCAGTGTCACTTTAGATCTGTGTCCCCCGGGACCTGTGTGTAACAGGGAAAACAACCTGATACAAGCAGTACACTTTCGGAAAGCCTTAAGAGTTCCCGTTTGCTTTCAAAATCAAATTAAGGGAAATAAGAAGAGATCATGGTTCAGCACTGAATTAGGAAAGGGAAACCTTGTCAGAAGCCACAGGTGGCCATAGTGGCTGACAGGTGATCCAAAGATAAAAAGATTGTCAAGGAACCACCTGCAAACCAGAAGGTATCCCAGGAACCTTTCTGCCCCGTGGCACTAAAGTCACCAGCACTGGTTCAGAAAGAGGCTTGTCCCGATCTCTAGCAAATGAAATAGGACTGTCTGGTGGGTGACTCCATAAGTTTGCTTTATTCATTAAGAATTCCCACCACTTCCATCTAAAATTCCAAATATATCTTTCCCATAGAAAACTTATCATACACGAGGCCAAATACAATCGCTAAAGTCATATAGTTTTATATTTTTCACATGATTTCAGTAAAAGACTACAGGGCTGGTTTGGGGAACAGTTACTACTCGCCACGGTCTCTGAGATGTGTCTGCGTCCCCGACACCTGGGGTGTCAAGGAGCGCCGGGGACAGGATCTGGCCGCAGCTTATGAATAGCTGGTGTTGTGTTCTCTGCACCTATTTCACTAAAGTAAGAAATTACGTGCTCTATTTCGCTGTGAATCCCCAACTCCTGAAAAGATGCAACGTCATCCCTCGATTTGACACAGAACATTCCCGGTAAAAGCGGTGTCATTCTATTATCGAACGAAGACGCTGGAAGAACAGGCGGGACTAACGCCCCGCGCCGAGCGCGACTGAGAACGGAAACGCAGTCCGCACCTTCGTGCACATCTCGGTGTCGGGGTTGCACTGCAGGATGTCTCTCACCATGGTGGCGTTCCCCTTCTCGACAGCCCAGTACAGAGCAGTTTTATTGTCCTACGCAATAAAAAGGATCAACAGTCACTGCGTAGAAGATACAATGTTAGAAATCGCTATGTGTAAACATTAAACATCCTTATTAGCATTTCTACCATAGAGCATTAATAAATCTTACCAACAGCCGGCACGGTGGGGAGTAACGTTAATCCTTAGGTTCTACCTTGGATTTACTTTTGAGAAATTCTTTATGAAAGACGCCTAGGAAAACTTAATAATATTTGACTGAGAAAACAGCGACCTCACGTAGTGGACACGGTAAAGTCGCTTGTGCAATGCGATCAGGTTCCAGTACCACGCACTGGGTTAGAAGCATCCTGAGCTCTGCATCCTTGACAAGCCATATAAACATTCTGACCTTTCGCTTTCCAACTGCCTGATCATTTCGAAAGATCATGCACGAGACTGTTCTACGCAAACCTAAAGTGGACCATTTCTATCATTTTTAGTTTCCTTAATCTCCATCCATTCCACACCCGTATGCCAATCTCGATCAGATCCTGTAAATCCCTATCTAGTTCAAAAAGCAAAAACAGAGCCACACAGGCCTTGAAAGCAGAGCTAAAAGACAAAATAAACTGACTGAACCTAGAAAAATAGGATTGACAGGCAAAAAAGGAGTTACGTAAAAGTCTAAATAGGTGATCCACTAACTACCTTTTAGTGATAATATGATTTTAACCCAAAAGGTAGTGAATGACTTTCTGCTGCTGCCACATTAAGTTTCCTATACTGAAGTTTCCGGAATGGAATCTCCTCAGAAATGTACATAAGCTCCCCAGCTTCCTTAGCCTGGCGCTCACCCCTCTGGCCCTTCACCCTGCTTTCCATTCCCTGCTCTACTTCTCATCCACCCTCCACCCCGGCCCACTGCCCGCTTGGCTTATTCACCTGCAGCTTTTCACTTGCCCACTTTCCTGAATTTTCTAATCCAATCATTCTACTAACCTTGCCGGAAATACCCAGCCTTCCTTTTCTCTTCCGCTACCTAAATCCAATCTTTCGAACGGAGCTCAAACCTGACCTTCTCCCAAAAGCCTTCCCGATGTCCCCTTGCCCCGCCTCAGGGCTCGTACATCTGTACCTTTCTCTAGGCGATCGATCAAATGCCGTCATATACCGAAAGTGGAATCAATCGCTTTCTGTGTTCATGTAAAAACATACATAACAACAACAAAGAAAACCTAACTGAAAGCTTCCTATCTAAAATATATGTTTCTTACAGGCAAGGGTCCTGTGTTAAGTCCCTCATAGCACTTGACATAATATTTACCAGTTGAATTCAAAACCGGATTTGGATACAAGCTAAAGGAAAAACTGAGCAGAAATAGAGATTGCACAAGCACAAAATGCACTATTGAGTACAGATTATTTTAAATCTAAAGCTCTTGAAATACTGGATAACACTACAAATTCAGGAAAGCTTTTATCTAAAATTATAACCTTTGGAGCTCTAAAATTAATAACTTTTTAGCTATAATTGCCTCAAATGAAGTCCACAGGCGCTACCCAATGACCCTAGAAAAGGTAAGCAGAAGGGAGGGAAGGAGAGGAGACAAAACAACAAGAACGGAAGAACATATAGATGAAGAAGACAAACAGCAAAGAAAATAAATACACTGCAGATCCTCGAAGTGCCACCAACAGTCTCCGCATCATAAACTACTCATTTCTGGATAGAAAATACTTATACAATAGTAAGAGAGGTAAATTTGAAAAACACGAGCTTCATTTTTCTTTACTTTGATCAAAATCTAACGACATTAATACAGAAATTCCATAATCATTGCATTGAAACTTAATAATATAGCCCTCCACGAAATATGTTAGGGTTTAAAAGTTTATCTCCATAAAAAGTTGGAAGAATGACATTATAACCAGTTAATACATTCAACCGGTTATATTCAAAGAGTAACAGCAGCTCTGTAAACACCTACCTGCCCTCTAATGTCTATATCGGCGTATTTCTGGAGAAGCGCTCGAACAATCTCCACGTGACCACCTCTGACAGCGCCAATCAACACAGTATCCCCACTCTAAAAAAGACAAAAGAACAAGGTGAATTGATGCTGAAGACAAATAAACATTGTTCTGAAGTTAAGGATAAACGTATAGTAATATAATAGATCTTCCTGAAAATTTTTTGAAAAAGTATTTCTAAACAAGAAAAAATTTTTAGTTAATGTCGTACCTGATATTAATAGCCCTCAGAGTGAGAGACAGAAGAATTTATACCTCAAAATGAGGACTCTCAAATTCCAGGACAAAAGTTTAGAAAGACAGGTCACCCAGAACAATAAACCATTCTCTCTGAAGGTAATCTTCCATGACAAATGTAAGTTAAATAAAATGACACCATGGCTGTCAACAAACCAGAAGAACATCTGGAAATCATGTAATACAAATCCCTTGGAATAATGCTAGATGACAAAAGCCATGGGCTCTACGAAAGGGGGCCGTAAAGCTAGAGCCATCGGCGGGTGAGGGTGGGGGTCAGCAACCGCATCTAGATAAGGGAGAAGTCCGGTTCTCAGACCAGCACCCACATTCTAGTCAATCTGGCATGACAGGCCCACAGCACAGAAGACCGACGCATTCCCCAGAACACGGCTTAGGTGAAGTTCATTACCTCATAAGGAAATCTGCCCTGCAATTATATTCACCAAGCAACAATCATTGTTCATTATATCCTCCCACTACTTCAAACAACAGACACAGTTGTTTTGGCAATGGGCATAATTTTCTTTTTTCGCTACTAAACTGCGAATCAGCTATGGGGATCTGGGTTGGGTAAGTCCATGAGCGGTGCCCGTCTCATCCCTGAGTGGGCCCCCACAGGCTATAAATCAAGCTGCAGGTCCTTGAGGATTCTTACATTTAGTACCAGGGTATAGCATCTTAACTACCATATCAGAAGCAGAAATAACCCACAGCAGACAAATTTTGGCTGAGATTGTTAGCATTAATTAATATGGGTCCAGACTAGTAAATTACTCAACGGTTATAAATATTTCATTGCTTACTACGCATCAGGAAACAAGACAGAAAAGGTCCCGTCCCTGGGAGAGCTGACAGTCTAGAGGAGACAAACAGACACGTGATAAACACAACTGGACAAATGCCAAGCAAATAAGTTCAAGTGTAGTGAAGAGATAGAAAGTGACTGGGTAGGTACTTCGGACCAGGTGGCTGGAGAAGCTCTCTCTGGGGAGGGAACACTTAAGCTGAGAGTGGGCGACAAGGAACAGCAGCCATGTGGGATCATGAGGATCAGCGTCCCAGACAGCACGCTGGGCAGGGGCCCCAGCGCAGCTGCAGATCAGTGAGCTCAAGAAAAGGAAAGGAAAGTAACATGGCTGCGGCCTACTGAAACAGGAGCCAGAGTGGGACACGATGAGGACGTGGAGCGAGGGCGGCAAGGACAATGTCATGTGGTATTTATAAACCAAAGAAGTACCGTTAGTCCTATGTGCGAGAGGAAGCCTTGAATGACTTTAAACGAAAGAGTACCATGAGATCTACTGCTTTAAAGATCATTCTGAGAACAGTGTGAAGAATAAATCAGAGCCAACAAGAGAACCCAGTCAAGATGCTGTTGCTATAACAACGGGAGATGGTGGCTAGACTAGGGAGGTGGCACTGGAAATGACAGGCGATAGATTCAGGATGCGTTTTGCAAGTCGAGCCCATGGAGCCTGCTGACGATGAGATGAGGTAGGAGGAGAAATCGGGGCTGATGCGTGGGAGTTGGGCTGTAACAACAGGGTGGACAGTAGTGCCATGTACTGAGTTGGAGAGGACCGTGGGACAAGCAGGTCTGGGATGAAACAAACAAGACAGCTGTTCTGCCTTAAGTTCAAAGCCCATTCAAGCAGAGAATTCACATAGAATTGGATTACGTTCTGAGAAGAGGTCAGAGCAAGAAATGCAATTTTGAAAATTCTAAATGTAAGGTGCTGTCTGAAGCCCTGTGACCATGAACGACACGACACCTACAGGGAGATACATCAGAGACAGTTAAAGACCAGCAGTGCCCGTGACATTTTCAATAATGATATCATCCGACGAAAATTAAAAAGAACATCCTTCACAAAGATCGAATACTCTTTAACTTACTAGTTCTAAAGATCAAACTAGAACTTATTTTAGAACAAATGTACAAAATGCGTGCAGAATCCTGCACGGCACTGAGGAGCCCGCCTCCCACCACTGCCAGCGCTAGAGGGCAGCGCGGCCTACCCTGTCAGGCATGTTCACGTAGGTCCCCGCGTCCAACAGGTCCTGCACGATCTCGGTGTGGCCCTCTTTCGACGCAATCATCAACGCTGTGTTTCCATCCTTATCCGTTAAATTGACATTTGGATTCCTCTTCAAAATTTCTTTCACTGACTGTGTGTAGCCTCCTTTTACTGCCACGATAAGTGCGGTCATTGAATTCTAAAACGCAGAAATGTGCCAAAGAAACATTAGCATATTGTAGAAAACATATCGCTAATGCCATAATCATAAAATAGACATTTTCAAAAAGGTGAGCTATCATTAACAGTTATTTCTGATAATAAAAGCCAATATAAAGAACCAGAAATATACTAAAAATGGCTAGGAGGGATATTTTCTATTTTTGAAGATACGTTAGTTCTTTTGAGTCAACAGGACTGTTATGACATTTAATTCTTTATATGATAATCTGAAATTAGACTCATTTACAATAAACAAACCCTCTCACAAATGTAATGAAGTATAAAATCGTTGACAGAATGAATCAAAATTAAACACACTCTAAATCAAATAATCCAAAAAAGGTCTTTCCGACTTCAAACGAATGTTTATAATAAAAATCTATGAAAAAAAACTGAAGTAAAACAATGAATTAATAACTACAGGATATTTCAATAAAAGTATAATATATTCTTGTCTTTCACAGTGATCTAGAAACCACATTTTCAAAAACTCTTATTTTAAGCCCCCAAAACTAAGCCATAGTTCTCACATATTAAAATAACGTAGGCTTTTCAAATACTCTAGCAGTTAATAAGCATACAGACAAGCCATTCAGCCACTTGATGAACTGCCCAGAAAGGAAAAAGGCGAGAGGTATGACCTCCATGTCTGTCTAAGAGTCATGCTCTGTCTCCAGCACTAAAATATTATCTACTCCCCAAAGGCCGGCAGTGAGCACCTTCTGCCACTGCGGGAATCGGGAGGGACCGGCTGCTACCATGCAGCACGCGAGTACGATTCAGCGCTCACATCGTGACGCTGCAGCGGATTTGGTGGCCTCTCTCCTCAGAAGTCTTTCTGCGCCATCTCACGTAACACTGAGTACACAGAGTGCCTGTGTTCACCGTTTCTAGGCATAAACGTCATTTCCTTTAACTATACGCTATAAACTCAAAAGAAAAGCAATCTGTTGGGCTTCTCCAGTGTCTCTGGCACATCTGTCACAGGGCTGGGTACACATCTGGTGCCCAAAAAGGAATTAATAACTGCTAGTTGGTAGGAGGTATGGAACAAATTTCTATGCTTTCTAGGTTTTGACTGCTGATTTCCATTATTTTTAAATTTGTCTATTGGAGAAAGAAAATAAGTCACAGTAGAAAGTATCCAAAAACTAATATTATTTAAAATTTTAAATAAAAGGAATTTTAATAGAATAAAACTTTTTTTCCATAATTAACAGTGTTTCAAACTATTTAAGAGTATTTGGATTTACACTAAGATCACTATTGTTTTAGCCTAAGTTCATGTACATCAGCGACAGACCCTTCAGAGCAAAAGTTTATAATACACGATATCTATGTTTATCAGGATATAAGAAGGAAAATGCTTATTTTTCTACGTGTCACTTAAGAACTGCAGGGAAATTTCTCTAGGCATATACTAAGAAAAAAACATTATCTCCCTTAAAACTAAAAACATATCTCTATTATCGGGGGTTAAAATAGAAAAGATACTTACAGCTCCTTCTTGGTCGACATCAGCTCCCGTGGCCAACAAATGTTTCACGCACTCCAGATGGCCCTTGCGTGCAGCCCAGACCAGAGGGGTGGTCCCATACTATCACGACAAGCAGCACACTTACAATCATTGGCAAAGGTGCTCTAAGAGACTCTACCTCTCAATATAAAAATTATACTTTGTGTATTCTTAGATTACTGCTTATACCGATCGTAACCTTAATCATAGATAAATCATAGTTTCCCATTTCATTTCTTCTGAATAAATGATGAACCATCTTTTAATCAACTTTATAATCTTTTAACTTTTATAATCAGTGAATGACAATTTTTCCATCATAAAGTCATATTCTTTCATTTTCCGTAAGTTTTCACTGCTTCCCATATACCGTGAATTACCAGCTGAAGTTTAACAGACTGACCATAGGCAAAAACAGTAACCACCGAGTACCAAACACAGTTCCAACTACTTTACACATAAACTCATGTAATCCTTATCACAAGAATACGTACAATTCGCAATGTCGCATTTTCACAGGTAAGCAAACGAGGCCCTGAGAAGTTGGTTACAGGCTCAAAGTCTCAAAGCTTAACAGGTGGAGCAAGACCCATGAACCCAACCAGCCCACCTTCAGTCTGTGCTCTTAACCACCACTCCAAGTCAGCTCTACGTGTGACACAATAAACTGCAGCCTAGAAACCACACAAAAGCACCTTTTGCTAGAATATGATTCAAAAGGCGTCAGAGAATAATCATTATGCATAAAAGTTAACGCTTTCCCTTTGAGGAGCCCGGCTATGAAGAGACACAGGAATATGCTCAGTGACCTTTAATGACATGGTGGGGCTGCAGACTGAAATTAACAATGAATGAATGCCTACTTTCTATAACAGCCTTGTCCGACAGAACTTTCTGTGTTGATGGGAATGCTCTAATTCTGCAGCCACTAGTCACCTACGGCTACTGAGTACTTGAAATGTGGCAAGTGTGACTAGAAAACTGAATTTTTAATTTAATTTAATTGTAATTGATTTAAGCCTAAACAGCCGTAAGTGGCTGGTGGCTACTGAACTGGGCGGCACCGCTCAGTTAGTTACACCATGCATCCCAGGAAGGACACTGCTCAAAGTCGCGGCCCTGGCGCTCTTCCTTGATGGACACGACCTCATGACAGCAGAGTCACAAAGCTGCCAACACAGCACGTGGGGCCCGGAACCTAACAAAGTGGAGGGACGCATGAGACGAAGGCAGTTGTCAAGGCCACGGCCTGGGAGCAGCCTGACACAGAATAAGGAACTCCGGGGACCTTGCCGATTTCACCCTTACATCTATATTCTCCCAGAATCAGATTGTTCCCTAGCTTCTTCCTTTGTGGACAACATTTTCTCTGGCTGAAATGCCTTCCCTAACTCTACAAATCAAAAATCTGAGCCATCTTTACAGGTAAGTGGGCGTTCGTCCTTTGAACACCGACTGCATTTCACTTTTATGCTTCTCACAGAACTGGACTACACAAGGTCACATGCTATAAATTCTACTCTACCCACGGCTCTTCACAGTAGAAAATCTCCCTGTCGCATTACAAAGGATTCTTGACATCTGACACGACCTTCCTCACCTTGACATCCAGCGACCCTCTCTGCAGTCAGCATTCAGGGCCACATAGGGAAATCTCTCTCCTTTTTCTCAAACCCTGGCCTCTGTCCCTGATAAATCCAATCCCTTTCTGTATATACTCTTGATCCTATTTTCCTTGTTTCATCTAGAACTTTACCCAACGATCTGCTGCCACATCGGCCGTCTTTTCTTCTTTTCCCTCTTCCTACAAACTGGCTTAGGTCTCGCCTAAGAAACTTTTCCAACAAGAGGATATTCTTAAGATACTGAGGGCAAGGTAGTTGTGGGGTACAGCTCACAAGAGAAAGTGCAGAAAGGGAGTGAAGGCCTATCCTCACACATCATACTAAGGACTGATGTCCTTAGGATTTTAAGCATGAGAGAGAGAGAATGAAACTTGAATTTTAGAAAGACCATTCTGGCACTGATACAGAAAAAGCAGACAGGACTGAAGGTAGGAAGAAGAGTCACAACAGAAACATTCAAATGATGGAGACAGGGCGTCCTGCCTGTCTGCTTTCCTGGGAACGATGAGTGTGATATAAAAAATGGGACACTTAGTACATAACACATACAAGAGAGCCATCTATGACACGTACATCTATATAAAATACTCATAACCTCATGAGAGCGTATGAAAACACTCGGAACTCAGACACACCGAGCAGACGGAACATGGACCGCAACCCACCTTATCAGAGCAGTTGACTTTAGCACCATTTTGCAGCAGAAGATGCACTATATCTGCATGGCCCCTCCCCGCTGCCCAAATGATTGGGTAAACACTGTACTGCTGGGAGACAGGCCGGCGGGTAGGTTGGTCGACAGGAAGGAAGATAGGGAGACAAAATTTTTTAGGTGGATATTTACATCGTACATTTGCTAAGAAAAGTAAATAGAGTAATACAAACTAATATTTTTAAAATCAAGTTACAGACCATTCTCTACTTTAAAAACACACATAATACTCATAATACGTAATTGGTAATATACACTCAACCCTACATAACTATATATCGTAAAGACATTATTTTTACAGATTCAACACATTTAATGTGATTATCTAGCCAACGGGCAAGACTAACAGAATGTGAAACTTTTCTTATATAATCATTCCATTAACTTGAATAAAAGATCCTTTTTTTCAGCTTTACTGAGTTACAATTGACATAAAATTGTAAGATATTTCAAGTGTGTAACATGATTTGATATACATATATATTACAAAAGGGTTCCCCCATCAATAAAAGCTTCTTAATCTACAGTCTGAGATCAAGTCTCAAGCAGAGCAGTAATGCATATGTTACCACCTTTCAGAATGCACAGGAAAACGGTATGAATGTTTATATATGTCTCTTATTTAAAAAAAAAAAGTTTAAGAATGCATACCCACAGAAAACAGGCAAGATGACTTAAGGATTTCAAAGCCTCCTTTTGAAATGTTATATGATTATAATTAACATTTAAGCTCTAAGAGTTGCCTTTGAAATAAGCTAAGAAAAATTTCTGATTGCGTCTTGAAAATTTAGACAATATCCATCACTTCTATCCATTAGGAAGTCTTAAATACAATCAGCCATCAGCGTTGCCTCGGAGGACGTACCGCTCACGGTACTGACTGACGTCTCCGTTATCACTTACCAGACCAGTGACGCTTGGGTTGGCGCCGTGAGACAGCAGCAGCTCCACCGTCTCGGTGCGGCCCTTGTAACAGGCCCACATGAGCGCCGTCCAGCCTCCCTGCAGGAGAGACGGGGGTAAAACTCTGAGCTGTCTCCAAGCACGAAAACGCCATTAATGAAGTTCTTTCTGTGAATATTATTTATAAAATCATGGTTTCATGAAAGCAGTACCATAGAGTTTTAAATTCCCAAGCTCCCCAGGGAAATATACGATAGTACCTGACTGAAATAAGTCAAATCTCTTAAACCCAGAAATAATTACTCCAAACTTTGTACTACAGAATGAAAACCGAAACAGGAAACGTTCATGCTGGATTCTTTCCAAGATCTATTTCGCTGTTTCGAATTTTTTCTTCAGAATTTTTTCTATGTTCCGAGACAGTCTCCCGCTCGAATGAATCTGCACTTGTTCTGGAGGGGACTCCAGCCGTCATGTGCCTCCTGCATCGAAGCACTCCCTGTGAGCCCAGATCACACAGCGCCTCTGCCTACAAGACACAACGCTGAGGCCACGATGTGTAGATCTCCATCTCCAGGGCTGGGCGAAGTCGTCAAGTCAAGTACGAATTCACAGCATGATGCCTTTCTATTTTCTACGCTACAGAGCAATTTTTTGAGTAATTTTTTCTTTAGCTGTAATGCGATTCAATAAAAGAGACCAATGTAATCAAATTATACTAAGAAACGAAGGCTTTCAAAAAAAAAAAAATCAGTATCTGGACCAATCCACATTTGGTTCTGAGAGTATAAATCCTTCTGATTCTGCTTCACCATGCTTAAAAAAAAAGAGTTTTAAAAAATACTTGCCCTAATCTGAAAAAGGCAAAACTGTAGAAAGGGAAAACAAACCAGAGGCGCCCCGGGTCTGGGGAGCAGGAGGAGGGGCTGATTATGAAGCGGCAGAGTGAGGGTTCAGCTGAAGTGACAGAACTCTTCTGGACAGAACTGTGGTGCTGGGTATATGATATTATGTACTTGTCAAAACTGACAGAATTACACACCACGAAGACTGAATTTTGCTGTATGTAAAATGTTTTAACAGTCAACCAGAATGGCTGGAAAGACAGAATACAGACAGGGACAGAATCTAACTGTATTACAAATGAATCATATAATAACATAATTACTTAGCAACTGACCCTAGGTAACCTTGGAAAACAATATTTTGACTGAATACTGTAATGTTAAAAACAAGAACTGTGCACAAACACTGTACTTAGTATGGAAATCCGTTTCTCTCAGGATGTGGATTAGAAATTCTCGAACTACTTCATTTATACACCAGAGTGGAGTAAATAAGCAAATGTACTGTGTAGATAATGAGAGCCAGACTGCTCATCATCAGAGAAGAGTCACAGATTAGGGAGAGGGAGAAGGCTACATGGACTGAGCTGGGGGTATCAACCCAGTCTCTTTTTAAAATATATATACAATAGGTAGTTACAGAAATAAACCCACGTGCAAGAGTTAGTATGCAGACATGTATTTCCTACCTCTATCCGCTGGGAATAACTACAACCAGTGACAACCCATTAGCAATAAGCACACCTAACATCTAGATACTGATTTCTAAATATCATTTTCCAATAAAAGGCACCAAGGTTCCTTGGAAAACCGATTCCAGGGCTGATAATCAGGAAAACAAGCCAAGGAAAGCGCAAGATATAAACCTGAGCCTGAAGCTGCTTCTGGTACCAGACAGTAAGGAAGTGCTTAATCTTACAAGGGCACAGAAGTGCCCAATGGCCAATGGACGACTTGAGCAACAAAACAGGTATAGAACTGAATTATAACCCAAAGAATAAACATTCATGAGTCCACACATATTTACATATGAGACAGAGAGACAGAGAGAACTCTCCTTTGTAAAAGAATTCCAATTAACAAATGTAGAGGGAATGAGGGAAATAGAAAAATCATCATAACACCCCAGCAATAATTATGCATGCAAGATACATTGATAGGTGCTCAAGCAAATGAAAGTTTAATCAAAAACACGGTATTTTGTGTAGTATCAAAGTATCTTCCACAAAATATCCAGTAAATATAAAGGGAAAAACAGTAATCTGATGACAAAGAAACCTGGCAGACATCATCTTAACCAAGAGATGAAGGCTAACATCGCCCGTGGCTCAGTGTGACATCAGCCACCTAGCCGGTGCCTGAGAAGGGCCCACGGCCTCTACAGTGCGTTCCCAACAAGACACAGCCTCAATCTAATCACGGGAAACTGAGAGACATCTAAAAACGCCAGACGAGTAGTCCTCAAGTGTCAAGGTCATGAAAGACAGGAAAGGCTGACATAATCTATTTAGGTCAAATGACAGAGCTGGGCATTTATCAAGTCTTACATAAAATACACAGTATTTTAATTTGTAAAATGCCTGCTCAGAATTGTTTTAATACCATGACCTCACTTTAATTTGTCACCCTATGCAAGAATCTATGAGCTAAAAATTTTATCTTGAGAAAATTATGTCCAAACTTGCAAAATGAAAAGATTGGAACTGACTGTCCACAGCAAGAGCCGTAGTTCGGCACCTGTCTTCTCAAGCAAGAATCCTCACCAGACTTCCTGACGGCAAAACCTGGAATTATCCTTGAACCCCAGATGACCCCCCAGTGGTCACCCCCTTCTCCTTACACGAGCCCCAGGGACCAGGCCTTCCCCCACAGCTCAGCGGCTGCGACCACCCACCCAATCCTCTGAGCTTAGGGCCCGTTCAACAAAACAACTAAGGGAGACAGACAGTCCTCCATTGCTCTGATTTTTAGTGTTTTAAAGCCAAACACAAAGACCCTTTAAATATTAAAGGTGTTGTGATGATTACTGTGGGGAAATAAGCGCTATGGAGAACTAAAAAGCTTAAGAAATCATTTTTTACAAATCTTACTAAGTTTTTACACGTTCATAATGTGTACGTTATACTTCCTGGCTCCCTAATACGTGTGGAAGAATGGCAGGGGAGAAAGCCTGGGCAGTAAGGCAGACCTCTGGGTTCAAAACTCAGCCTGACGGCTTAACGGCCGGGTGGCTTTAGGCAAAGAGCACTTGTTCTGGTCCCAACTTCCTGAGCTACACACACTGAGCACAAAATTAACCCTGAACCACACAGAGTTGTTCTGAGAACAGTGGATATAATATAATATTAAGTGTGAGATGGTAGAATGCTACTATTTCTTAAAAACTTGAACTACCTATACTTCATAAAGCATCACCGACAAAGTAACACATGTTTTATATATCAAAGCAAATCAATTCCTTCCTTTCTTCCACTCTTAAAATTAACTTTTGAAAAGACTAAATATTTCGCAGAATAAATATGCCAGAAATGATCTCTTTCTTCACCTTTATGTTTTAAGCCGATGCCAAGATTAAATAAGAACCAGGATAATTAAGAATCATATCTCGTTAAACTTAGAATGTGTACAGATGGCATGTCTCAATACAATTATATTTTTAAATAAATTTATAAATATTACTCCGAAAATTATGACTTTAAACAACTGAAATATTTTTAAAACTATACTATGTCCCTCTTAAAGTTCTTCTTAAAGGAAACAATTCTCTCATAAGTTCTAAAACATTGAATGTTAAAGGGTAATGAGGCGTTTTTAAAAATATTTCAGAATTTTAAACTCTAACAACTGAAAATGATGACCGAGAACATTCTAAAAGAGGTATACTATATCGCCTAAGTTTTAAAACATTCTTGAGGGTCGTTTCCATGCCCAGTCACAAATATGTCATCATCAGATCACCTCACACATAAAACACGCGACCTCACACGTATCTGCTACTGTCAGGAAGGCTCCCGTGGACCGACGGCGGCGCGGCGAGCGCACGTACCATGTCGCGGTGCTCCAAGTCCGCCCCGCACTTCAGCAGCTCCTCCACGACGTGCACATGCCCTTCCTTCGAGGCCGATATAAGTGCCGTCCAGTTATCCTTGAACACACAGACGGACGGTACCATTTCAAAACCAAAAATAACATTTCAAAATGAGGGGGGAAATTCGACGTACATACCAAACGATCAGACCACACTGACTCGTTCTGACCCACTCTGAACTACTCTAAAAAGACACTGAAGTCTAAGCTCTGGTAGGAGTTTATCTGTCTACTCGTGTACCGCGATGCTGTAGAAATGGTTTCACGACTGCTTGCTCAGTCTTGTCATTGGACTTTAATCACAGACTGTGTTCTTTAAAAGGGAGAAAAGATGACTATCAAAAACTCAAGGCTAATCCTCTGGCTAGCAACTACGATTACGAACTGAAATTAAAGACTGTAATTAGATTTAAGAGCATGTTCACGGCTACCAAACTAAAGTGATCCCAGGTGATGAGTTTAGAAACTATGTGATAAGGAACTATTCTCCTTTATTTTTTAAATAAAAGCCACAAGTATCCTAACCTAACTTTTATTTGTGAGTATAATTTAATTCAAATGATCATTCAATTAAAATCATCAATTAAAAAAAAAACAGATGCAACTCTTAGATTCTAAAAAACAATTTCTAGAACAAAGAGACAGTAAGAGGAAAAGTAAGCCTCTTGGAAAAGTAATTTATCCTGCAGAGGTGATATCAGAAGGGACCACACCTTCAGGCTATTATCATGTGTAATGACATTTATAATGATAAGATACCATTAAGGGAAGTTACATAACAATACGACTCACACATGGATATTCACTAGGCAGGCGTTTAATTTTATGTATATGTGCTTCCTATAAGGCCAGTGCCATCTGTATACAAAAAACATGAAATGCTGAGAACTCTCATTCGAAGTAAAAATTTCTCTCCTATATGATCTTTTATAAAAACTTGACTTAACATATAATGAGGCAAAGCTGATATATAACTTAAAATACAATGTGTAACCTATTATTATTGAATCACTTCTTAAAATCAAAGAAATGGCAACGTTAAGGAAAGCAAAAAAGACAAACGAGTAAATTATTTCAATATATACCAAATCTTCCAGGTTGCAATTGGCTCCATTCTTAATTAATTCTTTCACTATTTCCAGATTGCCCTGTTCGGCAGCTATCATCAATGGAGTCTGGCCACACTGGAGAACATAAAAGACAAAGAGAACTTGTCAAGATGCTGTACTTTAACTGAAATGCCAGTTAAATATACCACACTTACGTTTTCGTAATAGTAAGTTAAGTGATGTTTACCGTATTTCTTAAATTTAGAAACACCTTTCAAATCTTAAGTTTTCAGTTTACTAATAATGTAAAAGTCAGAGAAAATGAAACTTTTTTTAACCACAGCTTTAGTAATCTGTTTTCAGCACTGCAATTTTATTCAAACTAAGGAAATATAAACAATACTAGGCTCTGAAAAGCAATTACCACAAGGTATATAAAAATCTTAGGATATCTATGGTAACCAAATCCTCTAACAATACAGTTAGAACATAATACAGAGTGTGGTTTAAATAATATATCAGGACTAAAAGGACAAAAGATCACACATATACACACACCTATATGTGTGCAACACCAAAATCACTTTTCGTTCATCTTATCCACTGGCAAAAAAAATTACACTACACTGAAAACAGTTTTAAGAAACAAAACCATTTTTCTGAAGTTTTATAAAACATACCTTGCCACTAAAAAATTCATATAAAAAGTCTATTAATCCACGAAATGTTGCAACTCTGGTGTTCATGATGAAATAAAATCAATATTTTATTTACTTGTCTTGCTGAATAGAAATATCTAATACAAGTTACTGAAAATGGTAAATACATACTTGTCTTATTAAAAAGAACACAGCATGCCGGGTCTTCAAATTCTCAAGGTGTGTAGAATGAACAACTCAGAGAGAGAACTGGGGCTCCATTAAAAAAAATATTTCGACAAGTCCTAATTTTGTCTCGACAATCTATTTATAGGAAAACTGGATCTAGAAGTCTCTAAAACCTCCTAGAAACATTTTAGATTTTAGTAATCAAACTTCCTGAATATCAATTATTCCACCTGCAAAACGGTCAATCATAAATCAAATTCAATATGCAGTCATTTATGTTAGTTCAAATGTATTCCAAAAATATGGAATTTGAAGTACTTTTAATCAAAGAAATCATGATGTAATTTCTTCTAACAATATCACCAAAGGTGAAAACTACATATGTCTTACTTATTCGCCCTCACCCTTCGCAGGGTCCTACCCATAGAAGGTAGTCAACAAACATTTGTGAGAAGAATTTAATTTCAGAAACTTGGTCTTACCTCATTTCTCTCATCTACATCTTTGCATTTTTCCAGAAGAGCTTTCAGAGAAGGAATATT